CTGCAAGGGCCGCGCCGGGTTAGTGCCGCGGGCCGTCGGGCAGCGCCCCCGCGCACACGGCAGGGCCAGGCCAGCTCGGCCGGGAGAAGAGATGCTGGAGCGGGCGGGGCAGCGGGGTTTGCAAAGTGCTAAATGGCAGGACCAGGCCCTGGGGGTTACCGTTCACCGCCTCTCGCCGGACAACGAGTGCGAGGAGGCCGCTGCTTTCCCACAGCCCCTCCTGGCCCCCAGCTGCAAGCACGGGAGGGACCGGCCCTTGCACCTGAGCAGGGAGAGGGGCAGCCCCTGCACTAGGCCTTCAGTGCTGGAGGCTGCAAGGAGAGAGGGGACTCTGGACCGGCCATGGCAGCGATCATGTCCCGGCCCTACTCCCCCGAGAGCCGACCCCCGGCGGGGCTGGACGGAGCAATGCCCCCCCGAGGCCGCGCCCGCGGTGCCTGCTCCGGCTCGAGCCGCGGGGAGAGGCGCAGAGGGGGGTGGGGACGGATAAGTTGGTCCCTCGCTCGTCCCAGCACCCTCGCGCTTCGCAACCCGTGCGGCTTAGTGTGCGGGGGAGGCTCCGCCGGGTGCAGAAATAGTCGGGAAAGGCGTCTTAGCCCGCCCCGGGGGGCCAAGCGATCGCAGCCCGCCTTCCCCGCGGGGAGCCCGGGGCCCGATCCCGGCCTCACCGGGGGCTCAGCCCAGCCCGGCCCAGCGCCCCTCTCCCTGGACGTGATGAGATGCGCACCGATTTCCCTGGCGCGGCTTGGAAGCGCTCCCAGATTTTTCCCCGATGACTAGCAAACATTTAAAGCTTTTCAAACATTTGAAGGATCCGGGGATTAGAGACCATTCGGCTTTAATGAAGGCTCCAAAGAAAAAAAGGAGCCTGGGTGCGGTGGGGACGGGGCGGCGGGACTCACCTGCACCCGCACCTCGGGCAGGTTGACCTTCATGGCCAGCTCCTCGCGGCTGTACACGTCGGGGTAGTGCGACTTCTCGAAGGCGCGCTCCAGCTCGTGCAGCTGGTAGGTGGTGAAGGTGGTGCGGTTGCGCCGGTGCTTCTTCTTGGGCTGCTGCTCGTCGTCCGACAGCTTGGAGTCGCTGCCGCTGCACGGGGGCAGCTCGGGGCTGGCGCACTCCTCGGCGCGCTTGGGGCAGAAGGGCTCTGCGGGAGCACACGGCACACGTCGG